GAGATTTGTCATGACATGGCTACCTAATCTGTTAGATCTTACGTGGATGTCACATCATTGATATACGACGGTGGTAGTCAACGGGATACCCTGGACCCGGGCTTCGTGCGATTCGGCACTCGTCAGAAGGGTGTACCTCCCTGACGGATTCGATCCCGTGTAACCCAGCTTCACAGTCAGAGATGTTACCACTCGGCTGTTCGAGCCGCAACTGACCTGCTGTGTCCACAATTTATTGGTCAACCACCATCTTACCTCAACGTAGTGCACACACTATTGGATCATCTGAACTAGTGGCCATACTGCAACTTGGTCGATCGGATTCGATCTGAACTAAGAAGGACCCGATACACATGACATTGATCACCACCCAGTGACCAATCAATCGTTAAGTCACATCATTGTCTATTCTGACACGTGGTGTCGTGACAATAAGCAATATAATGTTTGGCGTTTCTAAGGAACATTTTAAGGCTAAGGACAGCATATTATGTTTGATGTGAGTAAAGATGTTTTTCAGAATGACTACGTCTGCGAGGCTGAGTCATACCATCCTCGTGAATTGAGTGAATGTTCCAGCGTTCTTCATTGTTAACCTCTTCGTGTTAATTACTGAACATAAGTCTTTTCAGTAATTATGTGCTCAGCTTCAAAGGTCGTGCGGTTAGGACCGAATCCCACGACACATCTACCACGGTGAGAAGCAGTATTACCATATCTTCAATCCTGGCACATCTCAACGCGAAATCATCCATTAATCTCGCCTAAGACGCATGCAAATCGGAGATCAAAGGAATTTTATAACAATAATTAAATAACACCTGGCAACCTGTAGCATTCTTCTCGAAACGATTGCAATACGCTGAACTATAGAACTTCACCTTTTCTCTCAGCTAGTCTTCAGACAATTACTCTCCTCGAGTCTCGACATTCTACGCAATACCTGAATAATATCTTATCTTCAAACCCGTTTTGCGAATTACCGATCGTGCCTGTAAACATGGCGTGTACCTGCTCTCCCAGAAATATATTATTATTAACATTCTTGTGTACAGAATCTCATACCCCTTTTCCACGACCAGCAATCCTAATAACTTGTCGATCTAACTGAGTAACTTATTACAGCAAATCCTATTATATTAGTAAAATTTTGAACTTGCCTGTAAAATGACATGCTCTTTGTAACGATGTTATTTGAGAATAAATTATTTCAGATATACAACATATTTCTGGGGCAAAAAGTGTAGTTGCAGATGACTTGTGTCCCAAAACTTTCAACAGTTTCCAAGGAGTCGACCTCCTTAAACTCACCCAGCTTCAAAAAAAGATACAGATCTTTAGCATGAGTTATCTTCGAAAACCCTGAAACTACGGATCAAGTAGATGGAAAGATGTGAGTGAACCTTACTTTGTGATGCATATGCAGGTGGAAATCGTTTAACTGCGTCAAACCATTATCGACGCAATGTCACCACTACGTCGTAACAACTTTCTTATTCCGGTGTTCGTGCAACCATCAAGCTCATTTCAAAACGATTTTGCTAGCCTTGTATGAATAGAGACGTGTGGAAGTAAATACGTACTCGTGCAAGCTGCCAGACATATAAGATGACTGGACAAAATCAATGTTCGATTGGCTCTTTCGTAACTCTCGACGCTCGTTTTGACCATGTTGGTAGGACCCTTACCAGACTCGATGTATACCCTCATCCTTTAGTATGTCTGGACTGTTTCACTTGATAACTGGTAAAAGTGCCTATCAAGGACACCACTGCCGAAATAATGGCCAGACACTTCGTCGAACGGTGGGTAGCAAACTTTGGCTGCCCTATGAAAATTACTATAAACCATATACATCATTCCGAAACTTGTTTTTCAGTTATCTTGCTAAACTCTTAGAAGTCGCACGATTCCGAATGCCCGCCTACTAACCACAAGCTAACAGGTTGGTAGACGAGTTTCAAAATGGGCTGACGGCTTCCACACATGTTTCTCGGTACTTTCGATGCAATAAAAACTGACGATTGGTACACTTGTAGAATTATGGTTTACTATGATGTTAGTACTGCTCTAATAATAGACCTAGTCCTAAAATTGTAGATTTATCATGATATAACTGCCTAATCTATAAGATCTTACGTGGAAGTCACATCATCGTCTACACCAACTCACTGTATCGTAACAACTACCAACACATGATGAAGGACAAGCTTAGGCTAGAGAAGGAACAATATATTTAATATGAATAAAAGATATAAGGCAATATTCAGAAGGGACCACGCCTGCATGGACGAGCCATGCCATTCGATCAACTCCAATTCATTCCATTCATTGTTCGCGTCTTCGCCATCGTTAGGTATTTCTCCGCGTTAAATATTGAATATCTACTTTCCGAGTAGTCTTGTGTTCACAGCTTTGTGGATTGTGAGGCTATTGTCCAATGCCACTACACACTGAAGCACAACTCGTTCACGGAACGACACTCCAACTCTCAGAAGGATTCGCAGATTCTTCATTTTTCGCTATAAATGTGAACTTGAACTCCTACACGAGCCGGCCCACAAAAGCTAAGTGTTCACTTGAACCTGTTCCCAAACAACTCCGGCCAATCGATGTTTTCGTCCAACATGTCTCACGATATCAACATCGACCATCCAAAAGCTGCTTTAATAGAGGGAAATTTCAACTAAGTTGACTTTCTCGCTAAATAATTGAACGACAGAATTCTCATGGCCATTAAGTAATCCTTGATTTTTCCCAATCACGACGAAACATCGCGGGCATCTGATAATCGTCCAAAAACGATTCTTACTATCAGATCTGTAAGGTCTTCTGTACACTTGAGTGAGTACTGAATTCTGAAACCTTTTGGTTCATCTCATTTTTGGGCTACAACATGAATTTGCTTGGGTTGTCATATTTTTTCATCGTTGCGTTAAAAAATTGTCTTTAGTATGCTTATGTACGTACACTTTTTAAAAATCCTAAAAGCCTTTTTGTGTCGCATTTTTTCTCGCTGTAGTATAGTATATACATCCGCACATATATCTGTTTTTTACACATTTAACTTGCTTACGCTAGTACGAGTGCATTCGATGTGCACATGCAACTTCAATCCCATTATTCTCTAATCATGGATAACGTTATCACACATTACAGTGGACAACTTAATAGCTACTTTAATATTAATCTTAACACTAAACAGACCCACGTCAGTCATTCCTTTTATTTCAGAAATTTTGTCCAGAGAAAATTCGTTGAATTCGGCCGGTTTAGTATTCCCTCCGTAGATCCCTATTATGAACACGTCACCAAACCTTGGAGCGACGATCTGTCCTAATATTGGACATAAATGTAGATTAGAGCTCCTAGACATAGAAAGTTCATCTACATTATTATACAGATTTAAGTATCAAAATCAAAGTACACAACCAAAGTTCAACATATCTAAACAGATTGGTTTTCAATTCGAGGTGGTAGTAAACACAATTGCCGATGAACTTTGGTTGGACACTTGTGCATGTCCTAAGGACACTTTTGATGCTCCTTGATAAGTCTGAAACCAGAAAGGTTGTTATAATTAATTTCATCAATACATTGTTGATCTGGTCTTTACGATTTATGAACTTTTGAGAGCAAAAATTAACGTCATTACATCCTATAAGAAATATATTAACGTATTCACTTCATATACATACCATGATTATCTAGAAGCCCTTCATTGCTTTAGCTAGTGGATGATGTAACAGTTAAAGGATTCTCGTTACAACTTATTTCTCTCTTAACTGCTATCGATTAAACATACACCAGTGCTAAAGTCAGTTACCTTTGACCGTGCTTTCATTAGCGACCTGGCTAAACGAAAGCAAGTTATGTTTTTTTCATGAAAGCTGTTCGCATTTTATTCTACCGTTTGTTAAAAGACAATCTATGACAGCCAAGGACGCTTGATACGTCAATATTTTCCCTATGTCTACGAGCTCTCTCAGTGACTTTAACTGAACTCATCGCGTTGGGCTAACAGGTAATTAGTCATAATGAATGTGAAAAACGGACAGCACGTCGCTCACTTGCACCACTATGGTGTTCGAACGAACTAATGATTCTTTCGTACTTGTTGATTGCCTGATTTCGAATTCTAAATACATTACATTCGTTTGTGCTCATCTAGTACTTCTTTATTCGATTGCGTTAATTCTGGGATTCCTAGTTCATACGATAATTCAAATTCTTTCAAATATTATAATCACGCAATTTATTTGTGATGGCTACCAAGAATGTCGGAACACTTTAGCTGAACAAACAACGAAGCCAGTGTATATGCGTCTCAGCCAAATCTCTGTGTCCGTATTTTGTTACTTATGTTTATGACAATAGTTTTTTTATTAAACGATGCGTTATTTTGTTGACGTTTATGAAAACATAAGTACGGGATGTGGCATACTCAAACACCGTACGTTACGTATAAGTGTCGACAAATATCCCCAAATACTCAACGTAAGGGGGGAAAATCGAAATTTCCCCTAAATAACCGACGTGAAGGTGAAAAAGCGACATTTCCTTTTTTATTTACGTTTTTATCCCTTTATTTCCTCTTTGTTGGTTTATTGGGACTGGAAAGACGAAAAACTGATGAAGAATATTATTTATTGTCATAATATTGTACTATGTAACTCCGTGTAGTGAGGAAATACTAGACGTTGGAGGACATAGGAAGCTATCAGAACAGTGCTTATCAACGGCGGGGTCGTTGGATTTAAACTTGTGGCTGGTCACGTTTCAGAGTCATCACTAGCCCAGTAGGAGGGAGTAAGTTGTAGTGTTAAGTAAATCCACAAAACAAACAGCTTCCCAGTGATGGATATTGACACCGACTTCTAGTGACATTTACTGGTTCTATGCTGTTATTTCCATAGACAAGGATCTGTATCGGATCACCGTTAAAATTCTCCTGATATGAATTGCCAGTTCAGTTGTTTAACACTTTACCACCTCTGCATATGATAGTCTGGCAAGTGGAATTACTACCAGAGAACACAGGTATAGGTAGCCCTATTAGTCTCACAATTATATGTCAAGCTTATTCATATAGCTTCGAAATCAACAAACTAACAAGCGTATGTTTAAAAGTCTGAAATACTCTTGTTTGATGACCAGGTTTCATAAACGCTGCTATATCTAATACATACAATCGTTCTACCACCTACGGAGATAAAAGTATATCAATCATTTATCATACGCAAGTTTGATGTAGTTGGAAATATTGGACACGTGATGTTCAGTAACCGGGATGTTGGATTTCTCCGTGCTCAGTGTGTGGCAACGCTCCAGGGTATCGCGACGCTTCTCCGCGCTACTTTCTTATTTCTGCTTTGTGTACAGCCAAAATCCGAAATAATTCATAATAAATTTGAGAGTTTATTTCCCGTTTTTACGATTAAATGAAAAGAGGTTTTTCCATTTTTCGGTACATAAAAATCGCTTAGTCCTTGAAAATTCACTAATCAGGTGCTGTTAGGTGAACGACTTCGTCTTCTTTGTCTAGGTCGTGGTGACGAGTTAGAAGTTGTATGCTCTGTCATCATCTACATCCTGAAAACAAGCATCTGACTCCGACGAACTGCGTTTCCATCCATACGTACAGACATATCTCACGAGAAAATACTTTAGAGTTGGATCATCACTATTCTCTTTACATACAAACACAAAGTACTTAGTATGCGTATACTACAAAAACAATTATTAACTAAAGAAGTCATATTACCTTATGTACTTCTTTCAAATAGGTCTCAAAATTGTCCCAACTTGGAAATCGACGAAATAACATAATATCATTGAAGATTCGTCCTACGTCATGCATCATCACGATGGCCTCGTCTTCGTTAATTGAAGGATTGACGTTATCACACATGGTGTGGTTGAACTCAATTCAAATCTATATGTAGCACGTACTATTAGCGTTTACTTGCAAGCATGAGCGATCTGAAACACAACACAATAGTCAGGACCGGTAAATGCCACTGAAGTAAGAACACGGCGTACTGGCACAACAAAGATATATTTAAAAATTGAAAGACGCGGTTCGAGTACAAAAAGGAAGCTTATTACAAAATGGGTTTATTCATTGTTCTGCAGGTTCAGCCTGCGCAATGCTTGTTCCTCTGCTTCTAGTACGCTTACTTTCTGTGGCACTGCAATGAGGAAAACAAACTCACGTTAGTAACGTCACATGTAACGATTTATAATACTGTTACATAAAAATGTATTGATTTGACCGCTTCTGAAAAACTTCATGGATTGTCGATGTGACGCACAAATAATCTTGCGACAGTTTGACCTTCAAGTGCTCGCAACCTCCGTCAGTGGACGATACCACTGAAGCGTTGCCTTAGTGTCTCATGTAAGTGCGCTATATATTATACAATTTTTATGCTCACCGTAGATTTTAAAGGCTTGGTCAACGCTTTTTCTAAATTGTAGTATGTATACTGTGTTTAGTACTTGCATCTAAATCCCCAATTCCGTAAATACTTTAGGTCTCAATCGGTTTTATTTAGCAAGATTTGATTTCTATTTTGACTAACAATTAGCGGTCTAGTGTAATATTCACGAGATATCGTATGGTGTGGCGTCTGAACATTTTTTTGAGCTCTTGATATCAACTTGTGCGCTACTGTCATTTATCCAGTTTCTCACTTCTGTTTTAGACCTGGGAACTTCAAACTTCGGAATGCCTGACACTACTCCTGCACAGGTAAACTATGTGTTCTTCTTTTTTTCTATTCTGTTTTATTCTTGTCGTTACAAAAGGGTATCGCAATAAACATGCGCCCCGTAATAAGGAAATGAGATTGTCAGTCAGTCAGTCAGTCAGCTACAACGTAGGACCAGGCACATATGTGCATCGGTCCAGGTTGCCATACTTCATTAGCACAGCAGGTATTGTAATAACAAGGAAAGGGATGTGAGCATAATAAAAAGAACAACAGGTGAATAAAAACAAGTGACTGTGAGTAAAATGCGATGGTAGAAGATGTACAGTTGAAAATAAAACCAAGAAGAATGCTTGTTAAAAGTTTCACTTTGGGAAAGTAAAAGCAATTACTACAGGACTTCCATTGGCTTTCACTGTCAGACATGTCTATTAACATCTCAAGCCACTGTAATGCACTGTCGCTAAGACCCGAACTAAGAAATCGCGAAGGACATACAAATGAATAACACAGGTTCACCAACCTACTATCCTTATTACTGAAGAGTGAAAAGCCAGTTTTGTGCTTCGTCATTCACTAAATGACCATCCCGTCTAATCCAGTTAGTCCTAGCGTTGCGGATAATGTACGATATGGAGTTCGCTGGGGGACATTCACAGCACATTTCCAAGCTACTGAAACTGATGTTTCAAGACTATAACACCGACTAAATTAGTCACTGTCCAAGTTAATGATATAGTTAAAACACGTCCGATGTATTTTACTTTTGCAAATTGGATTGTAAATATTGTGCTACTCTGGATGTATTGTAAGGTTTATTAACTCCATTCCAAAACAGTGGTTGTTGTTACCGTCTATGTTTTCTTGCTGAATCCAGTCGTTCGTGAAAAATATTCTCATGAAATGCATCACCATGGTAGTCTTATATTTGAGTTGTCTAGAATAGAAGTTGAAGGAAAGCTAAAGCGTTCAAATCAATTTGATATCTGTAAACTAACGATTAGAAGCCTAATTATTCGATTACTAGACCATCATACCTTCATAGTTTCCAAGTACTGATCTAAAAACATGGTGCTGTGAAGTATCTTTGACCATCAGTTAGTTTTTTGAGAACCATAATTCTTGATAGTATTCAAGCAAATAACATCTTTATTACTAGTAGGATAAACTGAACACTTGCAGGTGGTTTACTATTTTGTTTTAGTAATGGTCGGCATAGCATGACACCAAGGAATACGCTACTTCAGCTGTCTAATTCGGTTTTCACCAATTATGGCAAACGGTTCTAATACTCAGGTTGTGATGCATCTTATTACTTTTCAGTTTTGAATTCCATTCTTTGTCAGGTTTTCACTTGGCAACACCTGGTAATATGCTAACGTTGTAATGATATCGTTAGTTGATAAGTCGGGTTTGTATGTATGGTTGTATTTGGCTGTTACATTACATTCTCTTATAACTGTTACTTTAGTATTGTGATCAGGGTTGTCTCTATAATCAGTAGAACCTGGTACTTTAAGTGAAAGTACGCAATTGCTAACTTCTAAAACCTCACTGCGTAGAATTATAATGTAATCATACCAAATATAAACCAATTGTGTCACAACTATCACAATGTAAAACATTTTATTTTTTTGTTCCGTTCCTCCAATTTGTCATGTTTAGGCCATGCCAACTGTCAGTGCGACAGGAACACCTGCTGTTCAACAACAACAAGCTCAACCGAACAAATGGGGGATGTTGAAGGCATTTGCTTTCCGTCTGCTCACAGCATACTTTGTCCTCAACTTGTTTCGTCGTCCATCACCTAACCAAATGGATCCGAGCAAAACAGTTATCCCAGCTACAAATCTTTATCAGTCGGGTTCTATGATGGATTTATTTGTCTATTTAAGTGAAGATCCAACATTTCATTCCTTTAATAACTCGAATGCTTTATTTTGGTATGAACCCAATATTACGTATGGGGATTGGAATGGCGGGCCAGGCGGAGATGGTTCATATTCAAAGATCAGTGAAATTCAATGCAGTCAGGTGAGCTTTTGTGGGTCTTTTTGCTGTTTTGAGTGTGTGAACACCGTAATATAGATAAATAATAAGTTACTGTTTAACCTGTCCTTCAGTATTTTATAATGTTAACTGTCATAAAACGGTTATGCTGTTCAAATGTAGTTGACGACTTTATGAACATGTCTACATAGTTTCTACCCACACATTCACTAATTACGGTTTTGTCCTAACTGTTATAATCTCTTTCTTACGGTTATAACCCAGCTATTCCTATTGCTTAGTATTCTTGGACACCAAATCACTCGACAAGACCCCAACTCAGAACACGGTTGAACAGGAAAGAGATTATATTCCAAATAACAAGGTTAGATGGAAGCAAGAAGCACAATAGGGAAAACGTTAGTATATTTATAGTTTTTACATAAGAAGAATCTAGAGTATTATCCAAGTACCGACTAGTGCTGATTGGATAAGAATTAGCCAATCAGTGTGCACTGAAGCAATCGTGCATTGAGCATGCTTTAATCCAGTCTATGTTCCGCTAACACCTAACAAAGTAATGGTCTTATGGATGTCTAGTCTACTTTGGAAGTCAAATGTATTCTGTATGATTAGCTTCAACATCTAGCTAACTTTGATGATAATGGAATCAAGACATAAGTAAACTTTAGAGTTCCTTGTCACCATTGGTAAGAGTGAATAATCAGACTACCACTTTGCGATCATTCCGTTTCGAACATATGTTTATACACCTTAATGGGTCCAACGTAGTTACATTTGAAAGATCACACATCGGTAGCAATTGTATTGTATAGATAGCTAAGTCAAAAGTCTTTAATTTGAGATGGTGGATAATATTATACATACATAGGAAAAAACTAAAAACTGTTCTATTAGAGTGGCTAATGTAAAATAACAGTAAAGACTGCTATTATCTTTCAACATTTCTTTTCATAGGGTGAACGAATCTCAATAACTACTTATAAATTAATAAGTGGTTGTAAATTAATTTCGGTTTATTCGGCGAAGCACATTATAATGTGTAAGCTTAGTGAATCTGGACTAAAAGTTTTTGGCATTAAACTTAAGTACGACAGTGGCAATATGCAATGTTAAGCGATTGTTTAAATTTATAAGAAACGAGTCTAAAAAAGGTAGCAATCTGCATGGGTGTTGCTAAGAAAATTTAGTGTGACCAATTTTTATAACGACAGTTGATTTTGATAGACAGTCCAACTTGCTTCTGGCTACCTTTCCGTTGTCCACTATCCATCAGTCATGAATAAGACACTTTACCCAAAGTTAGAAATATATGAAAAGGTGCCAGGCCTTCATTTAGTCACACTCAAATATATAACAGATAGTCTACCAGCAACTAGTTTACGATATAAATTATAACACCAAATGCGCATTTCACGTCACCTGCGTTGTCTAATCAATTTTGCATTTTAATGACTTATAAAATCTTGGCATTTATATAAATCTCATTTACTTCTGATTATTGTTTATAGTTGAACTAAAAGCGAAATATCAGGACGATTGAGTATCCTAAGAGATTTTGTGTCACTGTACGTCTCAAAATGATCCTATAAAAATTATGACAGGTAGGAGTTACAAGTAGTCAATTATACGCATTTTTGAAACTGCCTGTGGATGGCAAGCCATCTGGTAATTCGTGCTAGTGCTAGTTGTGCACTATTGGATAAAAAAAACTTATCGATGGGGTTTTACATCTGAATTGACTGAAGCAGCTCAAAAACATTCCACGCATAAGTAACCGCTGGTTATAGTGATTTTATGTATTAAAGTAAGAATGGATTATAATCAGCTGTCCTAGAAAGTCATCCATCATTTCTTGTACGACAATAAGCCTTTACGTTGAGCATTCTAGTCTTGGCGTGGTCCCTTCTTTTAGCATATACCTCTTGGTTTTTATTGCTTCAGCCTTTTCCTTAAAGTATATGCCTCTAACCTACTTATCTCTCTTTCCTTTGTCGTTTAACACACCAAGGTTTGGATAAGCGGTTAACGTAAATAACCCTTACAAAATGAATGTCATCCATTATTCATGAGTCATGAGGTATGGCAACTTAGATCGATGCACGTGTGTGCCTGGTCCTGCGTTGTAGCTGGCTGACTGACTATTCATGAGTCTATTAAGATTACCAAACTAGACTTATATTTTTGTGTAAATTGTTTAATCCTGGCCAGATTTTCGATTTTCCTGTAAATAGTAGGTTATCAGGATAGAAAGTGACCACTCCTATCGACGTGTATTATTTGCCTTAAACTATGTTCAATCAATCATTCCCCCATTTTTCTCTTTTTATTTTTTTAGTTTCCCAACCTTATGTCCAATGGTTCATTGTATATACATGTATATTTTGTTAAACCTGGTTTCTCACCAGATCCGAATACGGGCAATAACTATTCACTGAAGTATACTGTATATAAATCGAAAAGTAGGTATTAAAATGCTTCTCTTTTTTCCTTTTACCTAACATACATTTCGTACTGCTTACAACTCTATTGCAGTCATTTAAAAAAGACTCAGTTTAAATATTAACACATGGTTTATTAATTATTTTTACTGTATCGTGTTTCAGTGTTGACGCGTTACAAACGTCGTCGTTTATCCCGTACCACAAATCTGATCACAGGTCATACTGATTCCCATCCAGATTTGGTAGCTGATTCTTCGACACCATCTGATGTACAATATTTACCTCCAATCACTCATTGGCATCCAAATTTAACTATTAACTTAGTCGATGACCATTCTCCATGGGTAAAAGGTTCTGTTCCAGTTCCTTTAGATCAATGTAAGTATTTTATTGTTCTCAGTGAAAAGTGGTGTACAATTTTACTTTTATCAGCTTTAATCTAATACGTATACTTGGAAGTTTAAGTTTCTTAGTACCAAACATTATTACTTTTTTATTTCAAATAACATGTAACTCAATAAAAGAAATGTGATTTTCGTTTCACAGTGTGTCATACAATATTATCTGATAGTTGTTCATGAAGTTATCGATATATACAGTAAATATTTAATTCATCGATATATCATTTTCCAAGTTCCTACTTTTATTACAATCACTAGTCTTCAGTCTCTTAAACAGTCACTGCTCGTTTTCACATTGTTCTCTTTGTTACTTCTATCATAACAACAAATTTTTCCTACTATTAGTGCTACAATTAAAAACTCGGAGAAGTAAATTGTTGATAAATAGTCTACTTATTAGATTTTCAAATTTTCATGAACCTGACTATTTTCACAGGTTAATATCAAACCAGTGAAACTTGCTAACTAGGGATAAAACAGTAGGTTATTTAAGTGTATTCTGGATCAGTATGTGATCATTTTAATCTACATGTACCATTGGGACCAAATGTTTGTTGGGATTTGAATAACATTTCAGACAATGACAACTCAAGGTGGTAGTCTGAAATTTGGTCTCATAAAATCAATAATATTTTTAAAGTTGCATTCGTAGTACATAAAGCAAAAAGAAAGGTTAACTAGCATCTATGCATTGGTATTTTGTTTATGCTCCTGAATTTGTTTTTCTTTGATTGTATCAGGTTATGTAGAAAGTTAAAGATTTACTATAAGTTGGAGTATTGGATGTTTTTCAGCTCTACTTTTCATTAAATTTCATATTTAATTGGTGTGGTTAACATAACTGACTAGCTGCCATTGTTCCTGTTTCATATGTATGTAATTTCTAAAGCAATGGTTAATTGTTGTTGCTAACTTCTATTAAATAGACCTTTACTTCATTTCGATGGTTAGCAGTTACAAAATTAGTCGAAAAAATTATTTTGCATGTTCGCATTATGCTTTTTTCGTTTTATGTAAATAATGGGTTCAATACAAAGTTCTAGTGTATATTCCAAACTCTGGTGAAACTCTTGGCCGCCTAGTTTTAAATCCACATTCAGCTTTGTATCTAAGTTTTTTATTCTTCGGTAAATCTCATTGTTATATGTTTAAATTGATTGATCAACTTTTATTCTTTGGTGGAATTTAGTCAGAGAAAAGAAATAAGTGGTAGCTATTTTTCAATGTCATTTGCTTATTGTTTCAAAATTTGTTGTTGTATGTACTTCCACAGTAGATTAGTGACTCACAATGTATGCTGTTTATTTGTTTGTGTTAATTAAACGTGATTAAAATGCGCTTTTTGACCGTTATTTATCAAGATAATAAACATATTTAACGCAGTTTTTATGGAATGTTTTCAACATTTTGTAAGCTTGGCATCTATCGATTTTCTAGTCTATGCAACCAAACGTGTTCTTTGTGCACAAAGTTAAAGCGAAAAATAAAGACTAATTTATAATTTTGCATCAAGTGAACTTATAGAAAACAATGAGATTTTCTCGTCATTTAAAAGTTAAATTTTTATATTTATCATAAACTGATATTTATTGAAAATCAAAATTTCTCTGTGGTGAAATATCTGAGTTACATTGTTTTCGAGCTTTCTCACCGACTACTTACAACATCTTCCAGGGTCTAATTAAAAGATTCATGATCCCTAAGCATGCGTACTGCGCTCAGTAATTCCCTCACCGTACAGCTCTAATTCATCATTTATACAATATGTAGATTACGCGTCATTGATCGATACTAGTACTAACTAAAATGATGCAAATTGGCATTTGTCGCATGTCTCATTTCTTTTATTCAACAGCTTTTTTGCTTAATATTTAACGTATTTCTCAAATAAAATGACGATTGTTTTTTTAAAAAAGACCTCAAAATATGCAAATTATTTTAATTGACATCGTGCTCTCGATTTCTTCATATATAGTAACTATATTTCCACTAAAAGAACATGAAATGATCAGTTGTATTCATCATGTGAATATGTATATTATGTACCGGCCGTATGACTGAATTATTTGTTGTTTTCCAATTACCTCCAATTTTTATACACATTTCTGTGGAAGGTTTTCTGTTCTCATTAATTTAATCAAAAAAAGTATTTGCAGTGATCATCATTATTTTGCCTACTTCTGTATGCCCTAAATAAACTCTCATAATTTACTTCCTATACTATCTCATTTAAAAGATTGTTTTCATTTGACCTTTAACATCATGGCACATGATTTTTTGTCATAATTAAAAAACTTGGACTGTTTCTAATTTGACTGGGACAACCACTTGTTTCACTACACAGGCTATACATTATACAACTGCTAGAAATGGCATAAATTCTGACTAATAATTTTTGTTATATACACTGTATATATGGATACGTATATATAACTAGTCTTCTTTATAAGTTAACGAACGGACGTTTGTGAAATCGCTTGGGTTTTTACTAATTTTCCAGTTATCGAGTTCTATTCACCGACCAATGAATATTATCCTGTTGTTTATCTGAATGATTATTGGAATTTAAATGAAGATTATAAACCAGTGAATGAAACTACGCCAATACTACCAATTCATATTACTTTAGCACCTTTATCTCTATTTAAATGGCAGTTGTACGCTGCACAGACAGCTAAGAAAACTTGGTTCAACCAGTTGATGGCCACTTCTATGTTACCATCAGAAAACGAAAATGATGAGGAACAAGATACAATAAAGGTAAAATTAATGATATGGAGTACAAAAGGTTATGCTTCTTTTTGAGTTTTAGCATGAACTTCGTTCTTGTTTTCATAAAACAGTTCGCTAATTATTTTGGTCTTTTATTGTTTCTGTGAATATAAACAGTTTTTGTTATTTTGTTATGACTAGATCTATAAATTTGAACATAATACATAACCAACACTACTTATTGCATTTTCGTTGTGGAAGTGAAATTCAGGTATAAGCCATAGGTAAGTCTTCGAAATGTCACACTTGTCCACACAATTTAGCGAAAATCTCTTAGTTACTGAATCTTGTTTCAGTAGTTTAAGTAAACTGAAGAGACATCAAAAAGTGTAATCGAACAGAATTGCCATCATTTACTGTTCTATTGAATTTTGTTTGTTCACAAATGTTTTATCAATCAGCGTGTATGATGAGGAATTAACGACCTTTCGTTGTACTCTACACAGAATAATCTTTAACTATTCAGCCAAGAAGCAAATGAAACCAAATCATGGCTACTCAAGGCTATCTTTCTGCATCATTTTTCTGTCTGATCCGTAAATTAGTTTCACGTAGTGAGTCTATTAGATTAACCAGCTATAAGTTACATCCACACAAATATGACTTGAAATATACTGAGATGTCTTTTATTTATGTTGAATTATCTGCACCAGTCTTTCAGTAACCAAAGTAATTTTTTGTGGATATGGAAGGTGTGTTAGAGTTCTTTTGAATATTGGGTATATTGCATTTACTCATTTTGTACAAATTATAAATCGATATGACAGATTTTTCATTTATAAATCGACAAACTAAATACTAACCACTAGTTTGCAACTGGGTAATTAAGAATGAAAAAGATTTGACTCACTAACCAACCAGACTCCTTGAACAGAACGTCATCTATCTGCCGTCCATTTTCATTTCCTCATAGGCTTTTAGCACTTAGTTATCGGTAGTTTAGGGAAGTTCAACTCTTTACGGCATCGTACTCCATACTTGTTTAATACTTATTGCTTCTGAACTCAGGTGACCGTTTATTGAGAAATATAATATTAAAATTTTGTCATCAATAGTTGACTGTTTACTTGTAGAAACGTTTCTTTTCAAACTAAAAGTTGTTATATCTAAAGCTTATATTCTTGACATACAGCGTATTACTTGAGCACTAGAACGCTAGAACCCTTCCAAGTCGCAATGAGAAGACAAGACTAGTGATAGGAATATTATTCCAGACCGTGTAGTACAAAACCGTCTGGTATTTATAGTTTTTAGTAAAAACAAAATCATTATTATAGCTATCCAATCCTCACACAGGGGATTATAAGCATTGTTCAATCGGGAAGCTACACGTAGCGATTCCAGAATATTCGTCCAAAAGGTGGTTGGATGGAATATCTTCGGCTCTTTCTGAGCTTCTTACAGCTTCCTCGAGTTCACCCGTGGACTGTCCTCACAAAAGCGTAGAATTTAGTGCCGAAATTCTAAAATGGGTCGGAAGGGGTATTTTGGTATTACCTAGTTGCTTAACTTTCATGAGTGAAGCAGATATTTTAAAACGTTTCGTTGATAATTAACAGTTAATCACTTTAAAAAATTAACCGCCGTCAAATAAAACTCAATAATGACGGAACGATTAGTTTTTTCAATGAGGCGTTATGTTTTCTCGTACATTATGCTAAGGTGTGGATTGATAGACATATTATGAATGGTCAAAATTTGGTAAGTACATACTAATAAATTGCAACTAAATTGATCAACAACAAAAACACATACATCAGAAAACATTTCTCACTAAATTGGATTATAAAATTTCCTGAATATCAATAAAGCAACTCATGACTGCACCGAAGTTTGCGGAAAATGGATATCTAGGTTTTAATTTCAATATCATGTCAGTGACTTGAAAATATCGCATCGGTTGTACGTTAACTACGACATAATAGTGTTTATGTCTGTGCTAATTTTTCTCAGATTAACATTCACTAAAACGTTACGTATCAAATTAGCCTGTTTTTTTGTACATCAGTTCATTTAAAGAGTGTCGTTAGTAATACGGTTTTGCCCCTAGCTTTCATTCAGTCATAGTGTATCATTGTGCATCATCTGTCTAATAATACCAACTAAGACATGCTGATCACAAACTTGCCTTCTATAACAACGTGTCAAACAATATCGTTAGTCATGACACTTTTCATATTGCTAATCAACAATTTATTATTTGTTAATCTATGCTTAATTTTTCCCTTTTCCTTTACGTGTTATATATAGAAAGCACTGATCGAAACAAATCCTTTGCTTTTAGCTGTAACAGTTGTCGTATCGATTGTCCATAGCGTTTTTGAATTGTTAGCATTTAAAAATGGTGAGTTCAATAAGTCATGTCATATTTCCTTACTAACTTCCTGTTTTCACGCTGATTTAAAACAAATATTGTTTTGACTGTAGGGTCAGTGCGAGCATCGTAAAAACTATTTTGGTAAATTTCAATATATATATACCGGCAAGACACCTGATTTTATAGTTAGATGTTTTCATACTCTACATAGTGGCTAGATAATACATTAGTTAAAAACATTCATCTATTGTCTGAAAGTTTGGTATTTTCATTCATAGAAGAGAAAAATCAAACCGCTCTAGTGTCTTAAGACTTTGTGGTTGTAAGTTAAAATGTATTTATAGGGTTTATGCTTCTGCGAACAATTCTTATTTGATCTAATTGATTTCGTGTTTAAGTGTGAAATGCATTTCTTTTACAACCCTTTAGATATACAGTTTTGGAAAACAAGAGAATCACTGGAAGGTCTCTCAGTTCGCTCTGTGTTTTTCAATGTCTTCCAGTCATTCATTGTTGTGCTGTACGTACTTGATAACGATACCAATTTTGTTATAAAACTATCAGTTGTTTTTGGACTGCTAATTGAGATCTGGAAAATCAAGAAAGTCCTTTCTTTCAGAGTAAGTTGAATTATACAAACACAAAGAGATTCTATGAATGATTGGTCTTTCTGTTTAATTAGAAATTTTTTTGTAAATAGAAAACCTAAAGTTATATAATCTTATCTGAGAAACATTGACTCAATAAACATATTTAAAACAAAATTATTGGAAAAAGTCATACATAGTTATCTGAAAATGAACAATTTTGTTTATCTAACGAGTGGACTTCTTAAACTAGGTATTCACAGGTTATCAACCATCTGAGTCCATATAGAAAAGCTGGATAATTTTTCATGTACTTTTGTCCCAAATTCATTTCAAGTGCCTCAGATGTATTCATTCCTTTATCTTCCTATAGTTATTAAGTTGTTTCTACTTATCGTATGTTTTATACCTACATTGATCTTTGTACAGCATACAATTCTAAGCATCAATTGTGCAGTATTACGACAAATAATTGCTTATCAGTACGGGTGTGTGCAGATTGTTTGGTGTCATAGATATCAGAAACTAACCTAAGTTAAACAATTTGTAACCAAAAAGCACTAGACAACTGTTTTGTTCTAGTATGGAACTCCTCAGTAATGCACATCTACGACCCCATCTGGGATCAATTCCGAAACATTTGAGTCTCAAGGCGTCAGTTTTGCGCTTAGAACACTGATCCGACACCCAGTGGTTGCACGTCTAGTTTCTGTCGATTCACAATATTGAGCAACTATCTTTTATTGTTTTTAGTGGGTAATTGCTTTACCCAACGAGTTTGAACTTCGCTGGCCATAACCTCTCACCAGAACTCCTTGAATTACTTCTTGAGACCAGTTAGCTACTCTACAACTACTCAATATTTCCAAACAGTCTGAATGGAACACTGAAGTTGGCCCCCCGACTCTAGTTGAAGTTCAAAGATCTATGGCTAAACTGAAACGGGGAAGAGCAGCTGGTCTAGAGGGATTAAATCCAGATGTTTTTAAGTATGATGGTCCAGTTTTAGCGATTAGGTTGACTAATATTTTAGCTAAAATCTGGGAGTTGGACATAATCTCATCTGACTGGTCGCAATCACTGATTGTCTCAATATATAAGAAGGGGTCAAAATCATCCGTTGCTAACCATGGAGGGATTAGTTTGATTACTATAGCATCTAAAATACTAGCCTCAATAATTATCGGACGCCGTAATAAGACCCGTGAACTGCAAACATGAGAAAATCAGTCTGGCTTCAGACCTGGTCGTGGCTGCATCGACCACATATTCACCATTCGTCAGGTTTTAGAACACAAGCACACTTATCGGCGTCCGACAATGATGGTCTTTCTTCACTTAAAAGCAGCATTTGACTCTGTTGACCGAGATGTTCTGTGGCAGTGTCTATCATTGAAAGTCGTACCTCAGAAGTACATAAATCTTGTGAAGGCTCTTTACTCAAACACTACCAGGCGAACTGTCATCTGATTTTGTAACTTCAAGTGGTGTCCGTCAAGGCTGTCCACTATGTCCATTTTTATTCAACTTCATCATAGACCTACTGATGGAAATAAAATTCTCATCGACTGAATTCTCGGGTATTGATCTCCTTCCAGGAGGTCCACTTATCGACTTAGAATACTCAGTTTGGTGAAGACCCTGATAAAATGCAGAGTCTTCTGACCACTCTAAGCAACAATACAAGCATGTTCGTAATGCACTTCTCTCCCTCTAACTGCGTGTTGTTGCTTCAGGACTGGTCTGCGTCAACACCTGAACTAAGGATAGGTAGTGAGACAGTCGAACGCGTTACCAACTTCACACATCTTTGAAGTGTGATCAGCCCTAATGGGTTGGTGTCTGACAATATCTCACCACGGATTCGAAAAGCTTGTTTGGCTTTTGCCAATTTACATCACCTGTGGCGAAGGCGATATATCCGTCTATCAATTAAAGGACGAGTATACTGGGTGGTAGTTCGTTCTGTTTTGCTTTATGGCTGCAAAACAAGGTCATTAAGAGTGCAAGATACTCGTAAGTTACTAATATATGGTCACAAATGCCTTAGAAATATTGCTGGGATCACCGGGTAAATAATAGTGATGTTAGACCCAGGGTATTAGGGAATGATGGTAAATTAGTTGATAAGGTTATAAATCTTCATCGACTGAGATGGTTAGACCACGTGTTGCGTATGCTTGAACATCGATTACCACGACGCGCAATGCTGACTAGTGTTGGGGATGGTTGTGAGAAAGTTAGGGGTGGCCAAACCAAGACGTGGCATCAGTGCTTGAATTCACTGAATTCTAGTTTTAGCCATGTTGGTAGATGCAGACTACTTGGTTGGTGTCCACCTGACTGTCATAACCAATGACTGGAGACTCTGGGTGACATGGCTGAGGATCGATCACAATGGCGTCGATGTATACATCCTTTGCCTGTCCTTAAACGGTGAGATTAAAATTGTTTTATACCTTTATTTCCACGAACTAATTCTTTCTTCCTATATTATATCCTTATACACAATTTTTTCCTTTATACATTGCTACCATTGAAGTGACTAGTTCTATGAATTTGGTGTTCATTTTTTCGTGCTAATGAGGTGTAGCAACTTGGACCAACGCGTATATGCGCCTGGTCCTACATTATAGATGACTTACTGAGACCAGTCACTAGTGTGCACATGATTATTTTTAATATATGGGGCTTGTAGACTGGTCCCTTTACTATTCCGTTCAAATAAATATGGAACAGTTATTTTAGTTGAATTATTTACACAGTTGAAAAATAAGTGTTGCAAATGGTTGAGCAGGTTTCCTGGCTTCAGTCCATCAGGCTACCAAATTTGAACACATCTAAAATAATTTATATTTCACTAAAAGAGTGTAAAGTTCTTTGCCTTCCTCCCTCTGTCGTTTGTATTGACTGTAAAATTAATGGCATAATTAAATGCATTTCCATACAGCTTCTGATAATATTTTTTGAAATGATCTTTTACACTTTCAGTAGTATCACCTCATTTTATTTTCCTTATTTCGTTGATTTAGTTGGATTATGATTCGTTGGTATTCAATGTATTTCCACGTATTCATGTAGATTACCAATCATCATATGTAGAAAGTGATACGAAAAAATATGATCAGGTAAATTATATTATATTGAAATTTTCTCTTGTTATAATGTTTATATAGTAAAGCGTGTTAGAAAAATTCAACAATGCGACACACACTCGTTAAACATTATATTATTATACTCAGTCACCTGTAATGTAGTTTATAATACCAGAGTTATTGAACATTTAGTCTGTTTTATGACAATATATGGAAGAATGATGAATAGAATTGAGCTGTTGTTGTTTAAAACTGAATTCTAGTCCACAAATCTCTCCCAGAATAATGCTCAAAGATAGCTTCTCTTTAGTGTTGAAAAAGCAGTCGTGTTATATATGATGTAGTTTTCCAGTATTAAGACAGACTCTGTTTACAAGTTCATATAACCTTCCAGCATACCAAGCTTTATTGTTTTTATTGGCGTCTATTGTAATATACTCAGTTTATCACCTCTGTTGTATCAGTTTCTTGGCATTTACATATCTTGAGAGAAAAACTATATGTGAATTTCTAATATTTTCCAGATGGCTTTCCGATATTTATCGTGGATTTTATTCCCATTGTTAGCAGCTTATTGTGGATATTCATTAATATATGAAGAGCATCGTGGTTGGTATTCGTGGATACTTTCTGTCTCTTACGGTTTCCTGTTGACATTCGGTAAGTTTATGTTATACACTTGGAATGAACCACTAATTTCGATCGAAGTAGCTTAAAATAAGTAGTTGTAGAACAGCGTTCAAATCGTCAATTCATTCATCTTTCATTGGGTTACGGCGTAATATATTTTGATCACATGACAATCATTGTCGATTAAAATAAATCAAGCGAACGGTGTGTATTTACGCTTTATAATTTAATACAATAGTATATATATATATATATATATATATATATATATATATATATATATATATATATATATAACCATTTTCACACAATAAACTAGACTTTATCATTTTCTTATTAAACTCAATCATCAATTATTTACTAAATAATCAACACCGAGCTTTTCCACTCAATTTTGTTACGGATTACTAATAATATCTTTTATTGCCAATGGTTGAGTGATGTCCACAAGTCCATTATCGAATTCTAGATTCAGTCAGTCAGTAACAACGTAGAACTTCGTACGTATGTACATCAGTTCGAGTTGCCACACCACATTAGCACAGAGATGCAGTTGTCGATTGAAATCCCGTAGTGGTAGAGGTAGCAAGAGTATAAGCAGTAATCGGGAAGATTAGGGTTTGGAGATGTTATTTAAAGAGTATAATCCAGTGAAATAAATTTGGGAAGAGGAAAAAACGGACATGAAGGATTCAGAAGATTAGAATTTGGGAGAACACAGAGAGTGGATGCACCTGCGCCATTGCAAACGATTTTGAGCCATGTCATTCAGGGTCTCTAACCATCGGTTGCTATCATCTCGCGGTCCCCAACCAGGTAGTCTACACCTACTGACATGACTCAGACCACTTGTCAGTGACTTCATGGACTTGTGCCATGTTTTGGTTTGGCCGCCCCTAGCTTTCTTCCAACCTACTCCTATACCACTGAACATCGCACGTCGAGGCAGTCGGTGGTTGGACATACATAATACGTGTTCCAGCCATCTCAACTGATGAAGTTTCATTACTTCATCAATTGGTTTGCCATCCTTACCTAGTACCCGTTTCCTTACAACTGCGTTACTTACTCGATGGTCCCAGAATATACGATCCCGACCGTTGTTGCTACCTTGACGTGGTGGTCGGGCTTGCCTATCGTGATGAAGCAACCGAGCTATACTGGCTGGAACAACCGTTCCTCAAGGTCCTACCATGTCAGACAGGTCGGTTGAAGAGCGGTAAGACTAAAAGCAACAAACCCAAGGTCCGAAGGCGAAGTCGTACTGCTGACTGTACAGAGGTGTGACAGCAGTAAGGTGTTTCCTTCAGACAACCAGCATGACAGCGATGCTGCCTTCCCACAAGGAGGGGTGGGGTTAGAAAAGGTCGACCCTAAAAATGCACACCTCGCCTTATCCCACGGATATCCGTCTCCGGCGGTAAGGTCTCAATAAGTACGGAGCTAACACAAAAATTACCCATAACAAGGTCGTGTGTGACCGACCTCAAGCAGTTGTCCCTTGGGCACTGCGGTCACGCTCTCAGGTCACTAAGACCACCTCTAATCCAATTTCCTTTTCAGGTACCTCCAGAACAACCCTTCCACGGTGTGGGCAACCGGGAAGTGATAACCGCCCTCATACTTCTAACAGCACTCAAGACCACTGTATTCATAATCAACCTCCTCTTCAATTCCTATTATTCCTCCTACATCGACTTTCAACTCTATATTTCCTCTCTCGGCTTCCACCTCAAGTGTCACCGTAGCCAACGATTCTAGTGCGCAAAACACTGTCCCAGGTCTACTGAAACCTCGCTCCAAACTACACATTGGAGCCTTCAACGTACGCACCCTATGTCAAATCGGTCAGCAGGCTTCCTTGGCTAAAACCCTAGAGTCTCTTTCCATTGATGTATGCTGTGTCTCCGAAACACGCATACAGGATTCCAGTGTGGTCATTCACTTGACCTCACCTCGGCAAGACGGAGAGCCAACGAGATACACCCTTCGTGTGTCCGGTGACCCGATGGCAAGTTCTCGTGGACTGGCAGGTGTAGGCATAGCACTAAGCATGAGGGCCGAACAAGCACTGCTAGAGTGGATCCCCGTCAACAGTCGTCTATGTGCTGTTCGGCTGAACGGCTACGTAAGAACTCGGAAGGATAGGGACACACGTCGTTGCCTTTTTGTCGTTTCTGCCTACGCTCCCACTGACTGCAGCTCAGATGAAGTGAAAGATGAATTTTACAGAAAGCTATCCGAACTTCTTCAGAAAGCTAAACGCTCAGACATAGTACTCGTAGCAGGTGATTTTAATGCTCAGATAGGCAGTTTAAACCAAACAGAAAGGCATTTAGGTGGATATTTTAGTATTCCGACACAGCGAACAGATAATGGTGATCGTCTGCTGCAGCTATGCTCAGACAATCGTTTATTTTTAGCAAACACAAATTTTAAGCATAAGGAGAGACATCGTCTAACATGGCGACCCCCTACACCAAACCAACGATGGACTCAAATAGACCATATTGCCATCAGTCATCGTTGGAGAGGGTCGGTAGAAGATTGTCGTTCATTCTGGAGCACCTGCTTGGACTCCGACCATGCCCTAATACGGGCACGCATCTGCTTGCGCCTCAATGGACGCAAAAAAGCCACATTAAAAAGACCCATTAGAACTGAGTTGAGTAACGAGAAAACCAAAAGTAGGTTCCAGGAACAACTGAGGTCACACTTAGTTAGTTGTGAAGACGAGGCTGACCCAGATGTTGCTTGGAAGGACATACAAGCAGCTGTGGAAACAGCAGTGACATCTGTTAGTGACTTAAACCACAGAGTTACAAGGAACCAGTGGATTTCTTCAAGGTCTGTCACACTGATGGATTCTCGCAAACTCGTCCCATCAGGTTCTGAACATGATGAAGAGCGTAAACAAATCAGATCTAGGTTAAGAAAAAGTCTAAGGAACGACCGTGAGCAGTGGTGGGTAACGAAAGCAAAAGAGATGGAAAAGGCGGCGACTATAGGGAACACAAGACAGCTTTACAGACTAATAAAAGAAACTGGAACTAATAAGTCAAGTGTAAGTGAGATTATTTCGGAAAAAGATGATACTCTCATCTGCTCCCAGTCCAGACGTTTAGAACGATGGGCGGAACATTTTAGAGAACAGTTCAGCTGGCCTTCAGCTACTCTACAACTACCCTCCATTCCCAGACAAAGTGAATGGAACATTGAAGTAGGTCCCCCAACTCTTGCTGAAGTTGAGAAGGCTATAGTTAATCTGAAACGAGGAAGGGCAGCTGGTCCAGATGGACTGGCTCCAGAAGTCTTTAAGGATGGTGGTCCAATTTTAGCGACTAGGTTGACTAATATTTTGGCTAAAATCTGGGAGTTAGACGTTATCCCATCTGACTGGTCGCAATCACTTATCGTCCCAATATATAAGAAAGGGTCAAAATCATCCTGTGACAACCACAGAGGGATTAGTTTAACAAACATAGTATCTAAAATACTGGCCTCGATAATTATCAAACGCCTAACTAAGACTCGTGAACTACAAACACGAGAGAACCAAGCTGGCTTTAGACCTGGTCGTGGCTGCATCGACCACATATTCACCAGTGTATACACTCTCTGTCTTCTCTTAAACTAAGAGATTAAGATCACTTCACATCTTTCTTTCTACGAACTAATTCTTTCTTCCTATACTATATCCTTATTGCAATCTTTCTCCTATATATTACCACCTTTGACCTAACCACTCCTATGAATCCAGTGTTCATCTTGCTGTGCTAATGAGGTATGGCAACCTGGACCGATGCATGCATGTGCCTGGTCCTACGTTGTAGCTGACTGACTGACTGAGAATATACGAGCAATGTTTCGAAGACACCTATGATCAAATACTAGTAACCTACGAATATCCTCTACTCTTACCGGCCATGTTTCACTGCCATAAAGTAGGACGGAACGAACTGCTGCGCAGTAAACCCGTCCTTTGGTTGATAGACGGATATCTCGCCTACGCCATAAATGACGCAAGTTGGCGAAAGCTAGTCGAGCCTTGTGTATCTGTTCTGAGATTTCGTCACACACCAGACCACAAGGGCTGATGAGACTTCCAAGATAAGTGAAGCGGTCGACACACTCAACTACTTCACTCCCTATCACTAGTTCGGGTGTCGATGTAACCCAATCCTGAAGCAACATTTTGCATTTCGAGGGAGAGAATTCTAGATTTCCCGAATAACTATTCTCTCAATGTTAGATTTTCATATTTCATGGAATTTTTGCTGTTTGATGTCTTTAACTTAATAAAATCTCAATTGTCTATTTCTCCAAACATCTAAAATTAATAAGACACTATTGTAATATGTAAACGACAAGCATGTACTAAAATCAGTGGTTTCTACAACAATTTACTTCTTGGCTGTATTCAATGAGTTACTTGGATAGTAAGGTCCTTACCTTACTGATGATAAATTATATATATATATATATATATATATATATATATATATATATATATATATATATATATATATATATCCTAATTGCAGATACCAGGTGTTTTAGTTCACCAGACTAATTTAAGTGGAATAAATTTATGTGTTTTAGTGTCGTCTGTTGTGAACCGGTGTATCAGTAGTTGTTTAATGTTTGTGGTAATTATGTTACTAAAATTCTAATTTTATCGGTCAACGTTTAGCAAATACACATTTTACAGTTAGATGGGGTGAAATTTATTGGGATCACGAACTCTTTTCTGTTTCGAACTTATTAATTGACAATGTTTTGCTCAGTTTTGTACATAGGATCCATCAACTATTGGTGTTTAAATGGCTACTTGTTTGTGATCAAGTACGACAGTCCCTTTCAGGTCTAATCATTCTTGCTTATGACTGCTGATTTTTTTTATTGAGACCCATTTGTATCTTAAAACATTAATTTTTATTACTAGTTATGTTGTCTATGAAACTAAATTTCCATGTAGTTTATTAACACATTCCTGAACGTAGTTGGTACATTGACTTGATAGTTGAACTTAAATGTCGTGGAACACTCGTTCATTTAGGTTCTACTTTGCGGATCAGGTTAGTCGGAAAGCAATAAAACTAAAAGCAGCAAACTCAGTTTTGAAGGTGAAGTTGTACTGCACTATAATGTGACGGCACTGAGATGTTTCTTTTAGATAACCATCATGTGCAAAGATGCCTCCATTCTGCAGGAGAAAGAGAAGGCTAAAAAAGTCTGGTTTTGAAAATATCACACCTCACCTTACCACATGGACTGCCGTCCCCAACAGTTAAGCTGTAGTGAACAAGAACACGGGTGGGGACAATCGATTGTATTTAGCACAAAGATTACAGACTATCTCAATAAAATGTGAATACCATAAAGTCAATCGTCAATTTGCAAAATATCATTCCATCATATCAAACTGTACTGTTCCCGTTGCAAACACTAATCCATTGTCGCCCATTCCATTGTACATGCGTTTTCTTACAATTCCATTGTGCTCTTGCTCTTCCTTTCTCGATCTTCGCCATCTTCTGCTGCCGGACATTACGTTCTTTTAACGCATGTTATATACTACTTATATCAATATAAGTAGCTCACACCACAAAGCCTTAAAATTATGGAGCTAGCTCATCCAAAGCTACTCACAAAAGGTTATGTTTAACTGACCTCAAGCAAAATTGTTCCTTGTTCACTGTAGTTACTCTACCATGCTGTCAAAACAACACTTGATTCGTTTTTTTCATGTGTTTTAAGACGAAGTATCCTTCCACGACTGAGCAACCGGAAAATAAAAACCACCCATACTTTTAACAACACTCAATTTATGCCTAACAACATACTTTCAATTCAACAACAAAATCTACGAACAAACGAAAGGGACACCAATGGGATCACCAATATCAGGATTGATCGCAGAGGCAGTGATGATGTAAGATATACACTTGATTACTTCTCTGCAATAAATCATAATCTAAACGGGCTTTATGGTTCAAATAAATGGATCCAATAACCTTATCAGCAAATTAATCTTGCTATACATTTCGATTAGTTGTCAGTGATGAGAAGGATATTTTAAGAAGTATTCAATAAATCCTACATCACACAGTGTGATATCTAACATTTAAACTTTTTTATTTGGTATATTTTGAAGGTTTCATCATGATGACCCCACAATTGTTTATCAATTATAAATGAAATCTGTTGCTCATCTTCCCTGGAGAATGTTAACATACAAAGCACTGAATACATTTATTGATGATTTATTTGCGTTTGTTATCCGCATGCCTACTCTGTATCGAATTGGATGTCTACGTGACGGTAAGACTCAATTTTTAAGAATATGTTTGTTAGCTTAGTCCAAAACTGTTGACATAAAAGGTAGTGTCTTGAAAAACCCAGTGTAATATTTCGATTTTCAAAAAATTAAAGAATCTATCATTTTGATTGGTCTGGATTGTTTCATTTGTACAAATTATTTAATTGCACAGTTGGTGGAAATCAAGTTATGCTACTGTCGTTAATTAAGTATATATTGAACAATATATTCAACATTGAATAGCCTTATCAGTGTAGCAGATGTATTTAGACGAATATCATTCTCTTTAGAAAAAATATTTCAATTATTAGAACAAAATAATCACACACACTGCTATATTATGATAGTTTGGTTTTCTTTTTTGCACTTCACCTTTAAATCACTACATTAATTGTACACAGTTTAATATCACACTTTTCATATGTTGGTGAATTTTTATTCAAACATAAACTATAGTCTTGAAATAAATAAAAATAATGTATTTGTAATATCCCAATGGGTAGGAGAATTAAATTTTCTGACGTTTCGTGACTCAGTGTAAGCCACTTCTTCAGAGAATAACTAGAATTAACCCAAGTTTAAATAGTATAAGGGAACAAAGCAAGAATATTAGGTGTGACCAATTAAAAATAGAGTGGTGTAAGGTACTTATATCATAAGTCTGATTAGAATTTTCACTGTTATTTCTTACTTTCCTTTTAGACGTGATATTTTTCATCTACTTATATCAACGTTGGATATATCCAATGGATCCCAATCGTATTAATGAATTTGGAGTCAGTAAGGAGATGCTCGACGCTCATATCAAATGTGAACCGAAGCAGCCCGACCTCGATAGCGAAACAACGCCTGCTTTATCTTCCACTTCTTCGGATCCAAATCCAACCCTTTCCGATTCTGATGATCAGAGTGACGTTACATCGTCTGTGCGTAAACGAAAATCAGGTTCACTCAAGAAGTGATTCTCTCTTTAATTCTGTCTTCATATCCTCCTTTCCCTTTTCCTTCTTTGTTTTTTTAATTCGTTGACGAAAATGTTTTTTGTATGTTATTTATTCAGTTCATCCTGTTTATCAACTTTAACTTCCAAAATTTTTGTTGTTCAATATAATCTTGTTAACATATTTTCAAAACAAATTGTTTTCTGTTGTGATTGCTTCCTCGCTCTCCCAACTAATCCTTAATTTTCCCCTCTATATATACCGATGTGGGATTCCTAAACCATTAGGGCTACTTGAGTTTAATACTAGAAAGTTATCGTTGGAGAAATCAATGCCCACTTTAGGGCCAACCTACTATTCAATCTTTATTTTTGTTCTATCCAACTCATCAATCCGAGTATGTTGCACACACTGTGTTCGCTTTGATTTCCATCTTTTTTTACTAATCATTTATTTGTTAGTATGCATACTACACATCACCTGCTTTTCGTTTTCTTGTGACATTTTTCAGTGTCCATTATCTTATCTTTTTTTAGATTTAAGAAGGATGACTTTTATTCAGATGAGTTAGTTCTGTATGTTTTTCACTAAACATATGCGACACTTCATTCATGATTGCTGTTTAACAAGTCTAATTTTGATTTGTTAATTACGTTTCAAACTATATCAACATCTGCATTTCTCATTGCGAATGTAATTAAAATGCCTGATTGGTCCTTAGCTGTAGTTTCAATTTTCGGGATATCTCTAACGTTTTACTGAACTGTATTGATGAGCATAAGATGTACAAACTCTGTAGCAGAAATATATTGGAATATCTTAAAAATAAACAATTGTTATAACAAATTGCTTGAGCTCTTAGTGTTATGTACCATAGTTTGTGTTATTTGATGGGACTGTATATACAATTGATGTGTCTCATGATAGATATTTTGCCTTATGAATAACATTACTTGTAGTTGTAGTGACTATCTTCTTGTTAACAGTGATTATCTTTTTTATTCCAACCCAATCCTTAGAATCGTTTGGTGATTGGATTACTTACCAAATGCATCACTGATGTATTTGCTCGGTTTTCGGAATAATGGATTTATGTGTGTGGATATTTGATTGAAGATCCATTTCTGAAGGGTATCTACAAATGAATTACTTTTCAGCAATCCAAGCTTCTAGACAACATTTCCCGTTGAACATGAAAAGTAGTATTATTCAAATAACCCAGTTTCAGATTATAAACAGTAAATAAAATATCTTGCGAATCAGAAAAGGTATGAACGTTACAAACCTAAAAAGTAAACTAAATTTGTTGGTTGTGTGGATAAGGAACAACAAATAAATGTAAATTATCGCAAAAATCACAATTCAGATTTCACAAGTGAAAATCTAGAGTTATTAACAAATACGATTTGTTCTATTCAAGTCTATTTCCTACATATTCCAATTATTATCGTTACATGGAAATGTGAGTTATTTTGTTGGAGTACAAAGATACGTAAACGGGAATGAACATGATTTCCATTCATCTTAATAGTTTTTACGGAAATAATCTCTGATTTTTTTGTATTTCTAGTTTTAATGGTATACTATGAGTCGAAACCTTTTCAATGTTGAACTGGGCTGATACTGTCCACCGTAGACAGATCTCAATAGTTATAACCGTTTGGTGTTTTATTCTGATTACAAAGTAATTAGGAGGAGGAATAAGTATTTGTGAATAATTTTCTCTCTAGAAACTTACCATATCATACAGGTGTTAGAAATATTTTTCTCCAGCTTTCTGTGTAATAGTGTCTACAAGTTGGTATGTAGAAATCGAGGTTTGAAAAAGACATGTCATAATAGATAATGTTTCACAGATGACATATCTATCATACCATGCTACCAAATATGTGAGGGTGATATGTCAAAAGGACTAAAATAATCAAATATCTGTCAGTCCACTTAAATTATAACTAAAACGTAATACCTGTGGATTCACACCTTAAAAGTGATTTTAGTATTTTCTGTGGTCATCCACCTACTTACTTTACTTACGTACGCCAGTTAGTCAATACAGCATAGGCCGCTGACCAGCATTCTTCAACCCACTCTGTCCTGGGCCTTCTTTTCTACTGTCCAGTTGTTGCTCATTCTTCTTATGTGTCTCCATTTCTCGGCGTAATGTGTTCTTTGGCCTTGAGGATTCCATATGAGGGCTTGCTTTGTGATGCAATTGGGTGCTTTCCTCAATGTGTGTCCTATCCACTTCCAGCGGTTCTTCCTCCGCTGTAATCTGGTTTGTTCTCTCACACAGTAGGTTGTTGCTGATAGTGTCTGGTCAACGAATCCAAAGTATTTTGCGTAGACAACTGTCAATAAACACTTGCATCTTCTGGATGGTGGATTTTGTACTTCTCAAAGTTTCCGCCCCATACAGTAGAACTGTTTTGACATTTGTATTTGTTAGGTTTGAAGCTTCACGAGTTCACTTAATCTGCGAACGAGAACAAGACTCAGTGACCAAAGACCAGTAATCTAGCTATTGATGCGTTCCAGCCCCGCTACCTAGAAGGAGAAGTCCAAGCTTGGTATGGAAAATATATTCTGCAAACAGCCAGAAAACGAGCGAGCCCACAAACACAATTGAAAACGTATATATACCAATATATATAATCAATATTGTCATGGGAAATTTAAAACATCAATCAATGAGTTCATCAATTGACTGCTATTAATTATTTAATCGATATGATAAAATTACAAATATGAGTTTTTGGGATGTATCGTCCCCAACAGTATTGAAAATTCTGACCTTGGTGTTGGTTGACAGTTGTTCTGAGTTCGAGATGTTCTTCAGTTGTGGATATGCTGCTCTTGCTCTGCCGATTCACATCTGCATCAGATCCACCGTGTTTATCAGTGATACTATCCAGATATGCAAAGGTTTTGACATCTTCCGAATCTTCTCTGTCAAGTGTGATTTGTTTGGTGCATGTTGTATTGTATCGGAGAATTTCGCTCTTCCCTTTGTGTATGTTGAAATCTACTGCTGCTTCACTGGTTGTCTTCTCCTGTATTTGTTGTTGCGTGTGCGATAGGAGAGCCAGATCATCTGTCAGGTCTAGGTCGTCCAGCTGCATCCTATCTGTCCACTGTATCCCATGCTTCTCCTCAGATGTTGACGTCTTCACGATCCAGTCGATCACCAGGAGAAAGAGAAAGGGTGAGATTAAGCAACCTTGCCTGACACCGGTCTTCACTTCGAACGAGTCTGTCAACTGTCCTCCTTGCAAAATTTTGCAGTTTAATCCATCACAGGAATTTCGTATGATATTGACTACCTTCTCAGGTACGCCATAGTGTCGAAGAAGCCTCCATAGTGTTGTTCTGTCCACGCTATCAAATGCCTTTTCGTAGTCAGTGAAGTTGATGTAGAGTGATGAATTCCATTCAATTGATTAATCCACAATGATCCGTAGAGTTGTGATTTGGTCTGTACACGATCTATCCTTACGGAATTCTGCCTGTTGGTCGCGAAGTTGAGCGTCTACGCAGTCCTTCATCCTGTTTAACAATACCCCGTTGAAGACTTTTCCCGGTATTGAGAGAAGAGTGATATGCCCCTGTAGTTATCACAGTTGCTGAGATTGCCTTTCTTCGGTATTTTGATCAGAAGTCCTTCTTTCCAGTCTTTTGGTACTTGTTCTTCATCCCAAATCTTATTGAAGAGAATGTGGAGTATCCTTGCAGTTACTGCTACGTCTGCTTTTAGTGCCTCTGCTGGAATGTTGTCCGGTCCTGCTGCTTTGCCACTCTTGATTTGTCTGATGGCCATGCTGATTTCTTCAATTGTTGGTGGGCCAACATTGATTGGGAGGTCCGTGGGTGCTGCTTCGATGTTGGGTAGGTTCAGTGGAGCTGGTCGATTCAAGAGTTCTTTGAAGTGTTCTACCCATCTGTTTTGTTGCTCTTCAATGTTGGTGATTACCTTGCCTTCCTTGCTTTTTACTGGTCGTTCTGGTTTGCGGCGATTTACAGAGAGCTTCTTTGTCGTGTCATACAATTGTCTCATGTTTCCTTCTCTTGCAGCCTTTTCCGCCGTCAGCGCTAAATCTCCCACATATTTACGTTTGTCGGTTCTGATGCTTCGCTTCACTTGTTTGTTTATTTCCGTGTATTCAGCTTGTGCCTTGGTTTTCTCTGCTCTTGTTTGGCCGGTATTGATTGCTGTTTTCTTGTTCCTCCTTTCTTGAATCTTGTCCAGTGTATCAACGGTGATTCATTCCTTGTGGTTGTTGGAGTGATTGTCTCTTTCATCCCTTTCCATTTCTTCTCCATAGTAGTACCCTTTCCATTGAGTAGATCATGAAAGGCCTGGAATCTATTGCTGAAGGTTATCCTGAATTTGTTAAGTTTGTCGGCATCACTAAGAAAAGCCGTATTAAAGTTTTGTGACGTTGTCCGCCCCATTTCTCACAGCTTCTTAAGTTTCAATTTCATCTTGGCGACCAACAGGTGATGATTTGATGCTATATCAGCACCTCTCTTGGTTCTCACGTCCATCATCCTTCTGAACGCTTTGTTGATGCAAATATGGTCGATTTGATTTTGCATAGTGTGATCCAATGAAGTCCATGTGATTTTGTGGATGCGTTTATGTGGAATATTGTGCCGCCTATGACCAGTTTATTGAAGGCACATAGGTTTGCGAATCTCCCACCATTTTTGTTCCTTTCTCCCAGTCCGTGTCGTCCCATGATGTCTTCATATCCGGTGTTGTCCATTCCAACCTTGTCATTTAAATCTCCCATCAGAATTGTCAAGTTCTTTGTTGGGCACTTCTCAACAATTGACTGCAGCTTATCGTAGAATTGATCTTTAACGTCTTCATTGTAGTGGTTGGTAGGCACATAGCATTGGATGACGTTCACTGAAATGCCCTCTTTCTTTGTTTTGAAGGAGGCGTTGGTGATCCTGTGTCCATGAGATTCCCATCCTATAAGTGCATTTTGTGCTTGTTTGGACAGCAATAGTGCAACTCC